GGGGGTAGAACACCTTTTCCAAACTTTTTCTGGAAATTATCATATGAATGGTTGAAGGTGAAAAGGGGTATCTCTTTTTTTTCTTTTAATCACGCCATTGTGATTTTAGCTTTTACATAGCTACCAGGAATTAGGATTCTGGTGTTAAACACCTTTACAGCCAATAAATAGACGCCGGTTGTTCTCTTTATCTCCACCAGAAGGTTTCATTTATGTCTTTGCTTTCTGTCTTGTCCAGTTTCTGCTTGTCTTCTTCATGGTTTTAATAGAGATATAATTAGTTTTATGTATGCCTTATGTCTGCAGCTGGTAAAGTTCAGCGAGTACCACGTGCAGCGGATGCAGGACCTAATAACTTTGTTCAACTTTGACGTGGGGGACTTGAGGTCCGCTGAGACCAACATGTTCCATGACGCCGTAGCTGCCATCTACCTTTCGACGGTAAGGCTAGATCTTTACACGTGAATCTATGAGCTTGATCTCAAAGTTCAAAGCCACTTGAACAATGGTCGAAGAAAATAACACCTAAAACAGGGTTTGAAAGTTTTAGACATCAAGACCTTTCCCGTTGAGAGTTTTATGTTCTTTTCTTCTTCTTCCTCGTTCTCGATTCCTTTTATAATGAGACTTGCGTGAGGCGGTTTGGGCAAGCCCGACTATCGGCACCTTTCGGTCCACCTCTCCGTCTTCTGCGTGCTTTTCTGTCTGGGAGGGCTCCCGGCTCCCATATCCTATAACTTTCCTGGGTTTGCCTGCTAGGCAGCAGGGATTTTTTATCAGAGTTTTCCTTCTCCTAGATGAACTGCTATCCCTGGCTAACGAGTTCCATCTACCCGGGGTGTGGGGATATCGCGCCCCAGTCTCGCTGGCGAGTCTTTCACCGGGCACTTAGGGTATTTTACATTGAGTAGAAGAATGGGATCCCACACCACAGTCTTCACCCCACCCTCCATCCTCACCGCCATTTGGTCTGCGACTGCTTATTTAGATATTCGCAGTGGGTGGTTGGCGGGTGCTCTGGTGTGGTCTGCTCCTTCTTTCCTGTCAAACATCTATCGTCCTTATCTCCCCTTCTTCTTTTTTATGTTTGTTACTCTCTTGTAACACCTCTAATCTTTTGGCGCTCATATGACCTTATGCAGTTGCGAGCGCCATAAAACCTCTACTAAAACAAACAAACACAGTTAACCTCTATATCTAGAGGCCGTTCCACTATCCGCCACCTGTGGACGCACTGGGTTGGGGTTGGTCACCCCGGGGCCCAGAGAGTTTTAAGGGGGGGGGGTACACCCCCAAAATCAAAATTCGGCTCAAAATCATGGAATTTGAGTTGTAGGCATTTTTAGCTTCCTCAGCCTCTCCTACAACTATTTCATGGCATAAGAACCCCCAAAAATCGTATTTCTTCCCATACCGGGCATGTTTGTAACCGC